CCCAGAATGTCTGTACATTATCAATCGATGGTGGCCTTTCGACATGTATAGGTGTTTTTCCAATTTCCCTGTAAAATTTCTTAAGATCTGTTCGGAATATTTTATTTTGGCGATAGAACCTACAACGTTTTTCGTATCGTCTTGTTCTCTGCGCCTTCAGCTGAAGTTTCTGCTTCAGCATTTCCTTGATTGATGGAATATCAATTAGGGATTTAATGTTATATTTCCGCTTGATCTTTTTGAATTTACGTCTGGAAATATTAGGGTTTCTGGTGAGCTCATCTAATATAGAAAGCTCACATCTGATTTGTTGTATTTCTCGAATCAGTTTGGTTTTCCAAGCTGGTTCTCTGTGTCTGTTAATTTTATTTATTGTCTTGACTCAAGCTTCCGAGTCGCTGCTGAAAAAGCTGTGGCGTATATGACGTTGTTAACTTCTGTGATGTTTCCCGGTGGTTTATCTGTTAACAGTGTTTCCAGAGCAGCATTGTATATTTTCACGATGTGCCTGTTGGAGTTCGTCATATGGATTTTCGGGAGCTGGTCTCTGTCTGACAATTGTGTTAATGTTACTCTGCTGAGTACTTGGATGACGTCATTTTTCGCTTCGGTGATTTCAGCTTCGTGGTTTTCAAGGAATTCTAACTTATTGTCACTGAAGATGACTCCAGGTGCAGTTTCTGGAGGACTGTAGGTTGTGTTTAAGGTAGAGTCTTGGGTTTCATTTCCTGGGAGATTATTTCGTATTTCATTCTCTCCAGCATCCACCCATACTCTGTTGCATTCCTTATTTCTACATTTCTCTCAATAGAGTTTGAGTGATGGGTCATAGTATTTTGTCTTATATCTAATTTTATCTTATCTATTTCTGCCTTTGAGAGTCTGTTGTTTCGCATGATGTCCCTACGGACATTGGCAAGCATGTTTGGATTGAGGTTAGGTGTTATATCATTTCCCACCGTACTTCTCCATATTTGGTATGTTTGATTGGTGGTGTTCTTTGCTGGGTTTTCGAGTGCAGTGAAGAAGGATGTCATGACTTGTCGATACTCTTCGCGGCTCCATTTCGTTCGTTTACTTTTTTATTAGTCGATTTGGCATAGAGTCACTTGGTCCAAGGTTGGCAATAATCCGGTTTTGGTGACCAAGTGTCTCTTCGTGGGTAAATGGAAGAGTTTGTTCCAGTGGCAGACTTTTTTCGTTCTCAGACTGGTTCCTCTCTGAGTGACGCGGCCCTTGTTGTCCCGGTTGACGGCCGATCCGGTATGAAATATTATTCGTATTCATTGAAATTAGTAGAGATGCGTTTTAACCTTGACCGCCAAGGGGTAATTATATTCAGATTACCAGCTGTAGGACGAATCTCGAAGAAGATCCAGGAGCACGCCCAAACAATGAGATTGTGGGTTTATTGATATAAAGAAAGAATATTTCAAAAAGATTGTGTGGTATTCAGTGGGGTAGACTATAGTAAATTTTAACTTAGTATAAGTCGGAGTGACCACTCAAAAATAAATACATTTTTTTTAGTAAAAAAAAAAAAAAAAAAAAAAAAAATACAATATGATCCCTGTCAATGCGGATACATACACATATAAAATTATATATATATATATATATATATATATATATATATATATATATATATATATATACAGGAGAGAGAGAGAGATAGATATTAGTAAACATGTATGTACATATACGCAACGACAGAGATTTGGGATGCTTAAATTAAAGAGAATTTTGAAAAATAAAGTGAAAAATGGACACGGATGTCCGCTTAAGGTCGGAGGTGGGGACCGAAAATTTGAAATATACGTTAAAAAAAAAAAAAAAAAAAAAAAAAAAGAGGGAGCTGAAAGGGAAAGAATTAGCTGGAGTCAAAAGAATTTACAGTCATAGCAAACTACACGAAAAGTAACATAAAAAAAGAATAAATGCTACATTTACCATTTCTTCCTAAATCGGAGCATGGCAAAGTGACCTTCCACAAATGTTCAGTTTTCCGTCGCCAACGACAGATACTTATCAAATTTTATCGGGTAGGCTGGATTTATACTACAGATTGGTAGGTGGGTGGTTGGATTATTATTATTATTATTATTATTATTATTATTATTATTATTATTTCCTCTGATTTCTGGTGTATACACATTCCCTTTCGGGTCCCAACCAGAGAATTAAGATCTTCATGAAATTTTTCACTGATAATTTTTATAATAAAACAAAAAAATCCAAAGTCCATACACTTTTTACAAAGAAAAGCTCTTTGTAATGTTTTAGCTGTATTTGTGAGTACAATTTTTTGTATATCTCCTTAAGGCAGGACCTATAAGGAATCACTTCAATGACTCTAACGGAACCTTTTCCAAACAAACCTAGGAATCCAACAGCAATTATTATTATTATTATTATTATTATTATTATTGCTGTTGTTTTTGTTAATGATTGGAATAGCAAAATAACAGCACAGTGAAGCTATGGTACAACTACACAAAACGAAGTGCACCCATCATATGCATTCTGGAAAGAGAATATGAGCAATACGGTGATTGATTTTGGTAAAAAGAGCTCAAAATCATTGCAGGTGGGTCACAGAAATAATTTCTTGTCGGCTAACCCGAGTCCGTTTAAAAGCTCTCCAAATAATTGTGTTCCCCAAAAATCTAGATATATGTGACTTCCAAGCCGTCAGGTGCGCATCTTTCATAATTGAAATAGAAAAAACAACCGTCTCATCACACGATCATAATGATCCGCACATGAACAGAGATGCACATTGCGTTAGCAACTATGGGAAATGCCAATTGGTTAATTACTGAACGGCTTATTTACTATGATCTATCTATAATTAAAAGAAGAAAAAACTTGTAGATCCAACGAATGATTTATTTTATGGAAACATTTAGACTAGCATTTGCTAATCGTGGCCTTTTGAGTAAAACAATGAAAAGAAACTAGAAACTCTTAACAATTCAAATGAAGGAAAAATACTGAGTTGATGGCGTTTACATGGTAAGAGCAAATTGCGGCAATATTTTACGCCTCAACTTGCTCTTACTATTTAATCATCATCAGCTCGGTTTTTTTCATTGATTTGATTTCTTAAGCGCTTCTAGTTTCTTTGCATTGTTTTACTAAAATGACCAAGATTAGCAATTATGCAATCACCAACTGAAACAAGCATCCAAACTCTAATCTATCTATTATTACTAATTTGAGTCTCGCGTGAATGCTTTCCCGGACACTAAAATCTTAACCACTCTAAATTAAGGATCAATCCTCAAATATCCTCTTCGTACTCATAATCATTACTTTCATTCATATCATGTGCACAAAGCTTTCTATCAAGCCGTATGTCCTCAATACGATAACACCACTCGCGGAATATTGATTGTAACGCAGAGTTCTGATAGCATGCGATGGGTTTCTAGACTGTATTCTGATTTTCATAATGTATGACTTTAATTTTGGTTATACAGACACAAATGATCCAATGATAACTGTAACAATAGTAGCCTGATTATCCCACATTCTGGCAAGTTTAGTCAAGGGCTTTTGATCTTGACATATGGTTACCAGGAACAGCCACGTCATAGAGAAGGCGATATCATCACCATCGTCATCATCATTAATATTATTTTTCACTTAAAATCTGTTACCAGTGGATATTATGTTTGGGGGAGCTGTTGAATCTCCATCACCACACAAACTGTCCATGTAACATGAGCAACACTTGTAATTTTATGGTCCGGAGATTTTTCCATACGGCTTGGGAATATCATTTGTTGTAAGCTTGGATGTGCAGGTGGTGCAATGGATAATGGCTCGGGATTTTTAATCGGAGAACCGAGTTCGAATTTCCATTGGGTTTGATTTATTCACTTACGCGAAAATACCACTGGATTCATCTCTTCTCTTCTCTCCAACAGCTATGGGTTCATTAGTTAGACTTATATTACTGAATCAATTATCAATTGAGGACAAAAAATTTAGATTTTGGCATTAAATAGCTCATAAAGGTTGATATGCTGCTGAAAAAAAAAAAACACAAAAAAACAATTCACCATAGTTTCCACCCTTACCTTCTGTTACTTATTTAACCCTAAAGAAGGTGATAATGCCACTAAGAATCAAGGGGATACTAGGAGTGAAAACAATGTTAAGATTTTAGGAGAAGGAACCGGAATCCCAATACTAAAAAGTAAAACAAGATGTAAATCGCCATTTTCAAATGGCCAAGTGAATCTTGTGAACTGGGCGCTAGACATTATCCTGCAATCTCAATTCCAGTGATTTGTTTCGGTTTAAAGTGCGCCAGTTATTATCAGAAATTCCCGGCAGTGCTTGGCCACAAAAAAATGTTCATAGCTGTATGGTCAAAGAACACATCATTACCACAGCCATTCAACAGTACCGAAAAAAAAGCCGGTTAATTAGTGTAATGGCACACACTTCAAAATATTCAAACTTGAAATCGCATACACTTATTCTAGCATCCCTCTCGTTTTCCAAAATAGTCTGAAAGATTCCCTTTCAATATCGACCACAGCAGTCTCCGACCATATTCTCATATTGTAATTAATTTCAGCGATTTTGTTTTCCTAAAAATATATCGATAAATAAATAAATAAATAAATAAAACTGAAATAGCCAACTATGGAAGTGGGACGTCTATTTAAATAGTATCTACTCTCACAATTTCCTTATGTGGAACTCTCTTCCATGTTTTCTTAATGATTCCTTTTGCTACGGCTTCTCAGCCCTTTGGAAGTTGTTTAAAGCCAGAAAAAAATTATTTTGTAAAGGTTTCTTTTTTACATAATAATGGTCTAGTGATACAGTTCTTACTAATTAACCCATAGCTACGGGAGAAGATCTGTATTCATACCTTTCGCCAAGAGTATTTGTACGTAATAACGAACCCAGTAAAAATTTGAACTCGTCTCTCCGATTAACAATTCCGGACCATTATACATTATAGCACGGACACACCCAAGCTTACAGGACCTGGAATTCCCAAGCGGCTATTCATCTAGTTACTGACCAGGCTCGAGGTTGCTTAACTTCAGTGAACGGACGGGAACTTGTGTTTCAACGTGATGTGGCCATATCAACTACAATATATCAAAAATTAAAGCCGACATCATAACAACACGTCAAAATCAGCCGACATTTATTAAAAAAAAAAGCTTCGAGACAGTAGCGTAGTGGATAAAGGGGTTGTTGATGCATGTGTTACTGTCACACGTGGTCATGAGTTAAAACTTTGGATCAGGTAGTAAAGGAATCTATTTGGCAGAAATTAACAATCACTAACATCACAGGGATTACATATCACAGTAATCAAGAAGTATCCTATATCACCCAATCAATAGACACATGATGATGACCAGAAGGCACTAGGTCGAAACGTTGCATATCAGCCTATCAATGGACACATGATGATGACGATAGGGTATTTGTTCAAAATGTTGTGTCTATAATAGCCAATATGAACACTATAGTTCGAAATGATACATTAATATAAATAAACAGCTTCGTATGATATTCTCACACACCCTTGTGCAAATGAATTGAAATATAACGAATAATTCTGTTGTCATTTAACTTTTTTCCATATTTTCCCAATGAAACATGGCCCGGCGCACATGTTAGTACTTCCTATGTCCATTTGATGAAGTCGTTCCTTGAAGATTGACCCCAGATTCTCGATTCGATTTAAATCAGGAGTGTTTCCGGGCCAGTTGGTATTTTGATTTGCTCACTGGTAAGGCTTACCAGTGTGTTCGTGCATCGTTACAATTTTCGTATGTTTCCTTGACATAGGCAATCGACAGTCAAGACAAAATTGTGTGAACGCGATGAAAATCTGATACAATCATTTTTTTCAAGGCCAAACAAATTTCATCATACACACCGAAAATAAATTCATATTCATATTACTCCAAACCACTGAAAATGACTTAATCTGAGGAAAAAATAGAAATACATTATACACTGTCACTCCAGTGGGTCTAAAACTGACCGTATGATGAAAGATCGGAAACTAAAGCGGTTGTTTCAATTAATTTGCATAAGGGTGTATAATAATTAACCTCGACGATTTTAACTTCGCGTAGGGGAAATAAAAAACAAAATCTGGAATAGTTTCTTTTCTCGCACTTCTCACCTGTTGAACTCTTTTCCTGCTTGCTTCCATATCAATCAAAATCTATAAAAAAAAATAAATGTAATGTCAATTGTTATTTGCTGTCTCTTTGAATCCTGTTATTTTTATAGAAGTTCATACGCCGTTGAACAGAAAAAAAAAAAAAAACAAGCTGTGTTTTGTTGTTCTTTCTTCTGCATAAAGTCCTTCTATTGTCGTTTATCCTCAATAACCCCTTCCCCCTTATTGGCATTATCAACTTGCTTAAGGTGAAATGATTAAAAGACGTAAAAACATACCGGTGAGGGACAATGGAGCTGTGATGTTTTGCCTTAAACACAACACAATACGTGCATCATTGCCTTACTCATTTATTGAAAATACGACATGCACACAGTACATACGCTTACATGGACGCTCTCTCCAGTGATTATGTAGCAGCAGTAGAAAATGTTCCTTTCAAGCATGCGCAGTCCTTTATCTCAGTTTAACAATAATATACTACAGTGATCCCTCGCTAATTCTTGGTTCTACTATCGCGGATTCACAAACTCACGGATTTTTTAAAATATATATATGGAAAATGTATCGCGGAGTTTCTGGAAAATTCTAGAAAAATCACGATATATGAACACCTAAAATTTTTCATTAACCCCATTCAAATATTAATAATAAATATTATTTCCTTGTCTAGGACCAACAAAACAAGAGTAAAATAGCAATAGAAAGGACACCGCCGTCTGAAGAGACGTAAAATACAATTATCGGCTGCACAGTAGAAGTCATCATCAGCTTCATCATCATCATCATTTCTATTGTGCAGCAAATTCATCACCATCATCATTCAAATTCTACTTCAACTTCTTTGGTGTTGAATACAGTAACAATCTTTATTTTTTTTAATCTAACAGTTGTCCTTGTTATTAATAGAGTACTGTAATAGGTGGGTTGTTAACAGTACAGGAGGGTTTTAAAAGTCCAAATACACGTTAAATTTGTACTGAAAATATGGCGTTCCTACTTCGCGGAAATTCAGTTATCGGTCTCGGAACCAATCTACCGCGATAAACGAGGGAACACTGTACATTGTGTTCTAAATGTTATCAAGGCCGCGGAACCGGTTGTAGAGATGTTTTAAATAGTAGCTTAACTTCCGGATATATTATTCAGATTAATGGTGTTAATGACAAAAAAAATGTAAAATATGAATAATTTTTATATTTTTTTTTATTATGATCGTTTTTGTTTCCACTTGTTAATTTTATTTTTTTTTCTTTCGCTTTTGGGTAGACATTCTTATAGTAAGTGCAATAACAGTAGTTGTATTCTTAGTGTCAGTAGCTTCAACATCTGCAGCTTCTGTGGTTACTTCGTGGACGAAGTCACGTTATCTCTTTTTCTATTGTCTGATTCTCGTTGGTTACTTTATTCCAAGAAACCACAGGAGAGAAAGCCTTATCTGATCTCCCGGTGCATGGATTCCGTACCAAATTGGTGAATTCCTTTTCAGGAGAAGATCTAAAAAGGAACCTCAAACCCATCATCCCGCAGCGCCCCGGAAAAAAACATCTGAAAGAGAATAATAAAAAAAGAAGCCAAATCAATGTAAAAGAAAAAAAAAACGTAAATAAGGTACTAGATAATGGCGAAAACCAAAATCGGTAAACAATTTTGCACCGGTTCACTCATATTCCCAAATTTCAAAATTATTTTTCATTTATTGATGTGGCTTTTGTTCTTTTGACCCCACACCTGTGAATTAAGTGCATTGACAAACAAAGGTACGGAATATGGAGAATACTCAGTTTAACAAGTATAAACACGCTGTTACTAGTGTAATCAGCTTGATTCCAATCACGTACACAAAAAAAGAACAAAACAATGACCTTAGTCCTTTCGAATTTCAAGGTCGGGCTTACGGACATATCACGTAGAAACACCGATTTCTGGAGCATCACCGAAGTTTAGCAACGTCGAGTCTGGTCCGTACCTAGATGAGTGACTGCTTGGGAACAGCAGCTGCTGCAAATTTGGATTTGTTGGTGTTGTAGTGAATAACGGCTCGGAATTGAAAATCGGAGAGCCAAGTTCCAGTTGGAGTTTTGCACGTTATATTCACTTACGCACAAATACCCTGAGAAAAGGTAGGAATACACTTCTCCTTCAAATTATGGATCAATTAGTAAGGCTTCTACCACTAAATCATTACTATCTGAAAAATAAATTCTTTCAATTTCAAATATGTTCTGGCTTTAAATAACCTGTAAAGGACTGATACGCCGTAGAAATCGAATCCATCAATCAATCTAAGTATCTGTCTATATTTCTGTGATGAGGTATTATGTACATTATTTACATTATTCGGACTATTTTCCTCATCTTTGTTGCCATATATATCATAACGTTCCGGTCGTTGTACGCTCCCGCCTTCCACCTGAAGAAGGCCGGGGTGTGCAACGGCCGAAACGTTGTGATAAATACGGCAACAAAGATGAGGAAAATAGTTGGAATAATATATGTATTGTAAAATCAATCTAACTATATACCAACCTACGATGACCTTCATCCGTACTAATTTCAAGGTACTGAGAAAATATTACGCTACAATCATCAGAGAGGTGACCTCGCAATCTAATAATGTAACGAGTTCGATCCTCAGTATTTCCCGCTTGGGGACTTATACCAGACTTTAGAAATTTAGTATATGCCTTTTATTAAATCTTGCCTAACTTCGAAATTACTGTTTCTTTTATATGCCTTGTCTCGACAGATTATGGGTAATTATGGCTCTCCACAATTTCTAGTCATTAGTTTGTGTGTGTGTGTGTGTGTGTGTGTGTGTGTGTGTGTGTGTGTGTGTGTGTGTGTGTGAATGTTCGGATGCCGACTGATCATTGATGGTAGCTACGTGGGTAATAACTTCAGTAGTTCTGCTAATATGTTATTTGCAATAAACAGATCTGTAAGTGTGAGTATATTACTTTAAGGAAGACCATCGTAATTATAACCCCAGATTTTTTCGACTTGAAGGCAAACAGAAAATCAATGGGATTTGTCATCTTCGTCCTGATCTGGGGAAGCTTATTTCTGTTTCTTCAACACCAAAAGAACCATTGTGGTTTATAATGAAACGTTTCAGAGCATCTGACCAAATTTATTACCGCTTGCAATTGAACCATCCACTTCCCTTTAATGAAAACACACTGTAATTATAATCAATATTACACAATCCATAATTTTGAAACAACACATTTCGGCTATTGAGAACTTTCGAAGAGTTCTAAAGTATAGTTTTCATTAAGCATTTTTATGTTAAATATGTGTAGAAATATTTTTGGACATTCAAAGAAACCAAATAGTAAAATTACACTTTTATTTGCATTCCAAAGATATAACAGTCCACATTGGTTATTGCAAAACTGTAGTTCACATTTAAATCGCGAAGTACCATTTCGATGGAACTTACTCTGATCTAAAGAAAAGTAGTGGTCACAGAAAAAACAACCTCTAAATTTAGTCGTATCAACACATCCTCTGTTTTCCGATTATCTCTTGCAAAAATAATATTATCTACTCTGCTTTTCGGCTACGCAAATAAACTAGGCCTGTTTCTTGCGGATTCAGTCAGTTATGTGCCATGCGTGATTCAGTCTATGGTGATCATGTATCTTTCGATATATGACTGAAGGCAGATTGTTTTCCGCAGTAGTTTGCCATTTCTTTCTGCAGTAGACCAGTTACCATCCAATTCTATAGAATCAGGTTTGTACTGTTATTTTCCCATAGCGTTGTAGGGAGCGAAGAAGAGGATTCATATCTTTCCCAAGGGTATTAGCACGTAAGTGAATGTAATGTATTCGATTGGAATTCGAACTCCGATTCCCCGATTACCTTAATCCGAGCTGCTATCCATCACCCCACCGTGACTCCTTGCAGATTAGCCGATGAATTTCACCTATAAT